AATCTCTGCAAAATCTCCAAAAGCAGTGACGCCACGTGGCGACCTTGGTAAAACTCAGCTTTTTACTGCCTTCATTATATTGTGTTTTGCAATCACCTAAGTCAACTTCTACCTTTTTTCTGTACATTACTGAAAATCATTTGTAAATAACCTTATTTCACTAATAAACTTGCAGCAGCTCTTTGCTTAAAATTAATTTTTCTGCTAAAATAAGGCTCGATTTCATGCTAAAAGGGTTAGGTTTCTCTTCTTTTCTTGCCTGAGTGGAGCACAGTGTCTCTTTTTTTTCCTTTTCAGTCGTCGTTGTCAGGAAATAGGCCGGCCGATGGTGACTGTCACACTCAGCACTGCCACTGTCTTCAACTTCTCCTTTCACTTTTTGCAGTTAAGCCTTTTGGCAAGTTTATTTAGATAGACATTGACAAGAGCACCCAGCCTCCCCGGAGTCACAAAAGTGCGGCACACTTTTCCCTTTCAGCGCCGACCAGGCGTTCTCAGAAGTGGTAGGAAGTGGACAACACACATGTGCGAGATTAGATATCACTGTGCGGGATGATGGTGGCTTTCAATAACGTTTGCTCAATTTGTTTGCGCTTTGCAGGCCTTGCACGTGCACAGCTACAGGGTGTGCTACAGCTAAAGAGCCTGCCACAACTTTAGCCCCTCGTATCTCCCTTTGACAAAGCAGAATCTATTCTTTGGGCAAACTAACAGCTGACTAACTGCTACTGTCCGTTCCTCAAGCTCCTGTTCCTCAGTTTACTTGTCAAGTGAAAGAGAGAAAAAGCAGCATAGAGTAAACAATCGTATCTGTTGAGCGTTTGATTCTTTGTGCTATCCCTTACTAGTTTCAGTTTGAATGAAAGGCGAAAGGTGTTCGAGAGGAACTGAGTCGCGCGTAAGACACAACGTTTCCGGTGTGTTTTGAATGACGAAGAAGCTGAAGCAGAGGAAGGCTACTGGGCCGGCTGCAGCAAAAGGGAGAGAGAGAAAGAATAAGAGGCCCACTGGCCTACTGGCCAAATGTCCACTTTGCTATCTCTCTTTCTGCCGGCAAACGGTTCTGCCTGCAGGCCTCCCTAGCCGCATTTTACAACAAAATCACGGAAGCAAGCTGTTAGACGGCAAGTTCTGTGTGTTCGATTGCCGTCTGCCACGTGGGTGCCTCTTTGCATTCAGCCTCCAACAACTCAACAAGTCGGTCGGAACTGAAATGAGTGATCAAGCTGAAAGGTGTCGTAAAAAACGTTGAAAGAAGAGGCGGAAAGAAGAGGGATACTCATTTGCTTGCTCTCTTTGCAATCAAAGCTGTTCATTTACAGCAAAGGACAAGGTCGAGATTCAAGGTTAGCTGCTGTAACTTTTATCAACTAATATAATTGTTTTTGCTAAAAAAGTTTTCATGTTTATTTAGAAAAGGCATCAAATAGGATCGAAAATCAAAGTGCGTTACACTTTTGCCGTTATATCTTCTTGAAAGCATCTGAAAGGGAGCAAATTAGCTTAGAAAACTTATCGCACCATGGTGGTTATCATTCAAATGAGTTGACAACAGCCAGCATTAAAACTGAGTATAACCTTTTTATCAACACTGTTTCGCAGTAAAACTGCTACCACTACAAATCACTGAACAAGCAAAACACTTTTATTAAGTTGCTTTACTGTAAACTTGTAAACTCGTTACTTTTTTAAATTAATTTACATACTCAAGATGGTTATGGAAAATAAGTCACCGTTTGAAAAGTTTCCTCAGGTGTACGTTCAGACGCCGCTGATTGAGAGTATTTCCATGCGTCAGTATGCTGCTGGTCATCGAATTTTCATCAAAGCAGAAAACTGCCAACCATCTGGAAGCTTCAAGTTAAGAGGCATTTCAGCTCAGGTGAAAGATGTAAGTGTCTGCTTTACATTGTTGATCGTATGATTCTAAACTATCAAACGATACTATCAAAAAGTCACCGCTTTCTCTTGCAGGCTAAAGTCAATGGGTACACTAAAATAGTGATGGCATCAGATGGAAATGCCGGTCTGGCGGCTGCCTACTCAGCACTGCAGCTGTCAATGGACTGCCACATTGTCGCCCCTCACAAGACGCCCAAATCGACAGTTGACAGCATGAAACAGTTTGGCGCCACTGTGGAGATATTCAGCGATTCGGAGACAGAAGTGGCGGAGAGGGCTCAACTCTTCGCCAAGCTGAACACTTCTGCGCTGATTGAGGCCAGTGACAGCAAGCTCGCCTGGCGTGCCAACTCGCTCATCATCGAAGAAGTAGCCAGTGACCTGGGAGCCGGTGTGGTTCCCTCGCTCATCGTCGCCAACTGCGGCGGCGGTGGGCTAGTGTGCGGTCTGGTGGAGGGCATTCGCAAGCGTGGCTGGGAGCAAAAGACAAAAATACTGGTCATGGAAACGACCGGCACCGGTTCCTTTAATGCCATGGTTCGGGCGCAGGGAAAGTGCGTCAAGCTGGAGCCAAACAGCATGCACTCCAGCATTGCCTGCTCTCTGAAGGAGCCACAAGTCATTGAGAAGGTGTCGCAGTGCTTTCTCGAATCAAAGCCACCCCTCTTGTCGCGTTTGGTGGCTGATAAGGACGCCGTGGCCGCCTGCCTACGCTTTGCCAATGATCATCGATTTTTAGTCGGTCCGGCCTGCGGCACTACACTGGCGGCAGTGTACGGCGGTGTAGTAAAGCGATTACTCACTAACGATGAATCGGAACACGAGACGATTTTTGATAGGATCGATCATGAGGACTTCAACCACGGCAACGATGGCCCAGTTGTTGTCATCGTCGACGGCGGTGCGGAGATATCACTTGAAGTACTTGCCGAATATAAACGACAGTTTGCCCTCTAAAAGAAGGCTACCAATACTGGCAGGCTGGTTTTAGTTAAAACTTATCAAAATGAACAAATGTCAAGCTTGGATACTGGCTCTTTGGTGGTGTATTTATCAAAGCAATGCATTTTTGGGTCGGCTAATAACAACAACAGACTGACACTTTATTTAACTGTTTGCCACTGCAAAATGTACATTTCTGCATGGTAGTCTTTATCTGTCAAACTGATAGCATTTTATCGGCATAAAAACGCGCCATTTAGTGTTAAGACATTTTTCCTTATAAAATGAAATTACTACAAAAGTTTTTCAATAACTTTTTACTTTATTTTATTAAACTAGTTTACAATAATTACAATAATAGTTACAATAACATTTTAAAATGCAAAGCAACAGTTTCCCTAAAATATACGTAAGAACACCATTAGTTGAAAGTATTGCCCTTCGGCCATATGCTGCTCAAAGAAAAGTTTATCTAAAGCTTGAAAATGTACAACCTTCGGGTAGTTTTAAACTTAGAGGCGTTTCAGAACAAGTTAAACATGTAAGGATTTATTAAAATGTAGCTATGCAACTTTCTTTTTTTAAATATTTTTTTCCTAGGCAAAACGAAATGGTGCCTCGGCCATAGTAATTTTTTCTGGTGGTAATGCAGGTCTAGCTGCTGCTTACTCCGCTCTTCAGCTAGACATGGCTTGTCGAATAGTCCTTCCTCGACGAACACCTCAAAATATTATAGAGAAGATCAAATCACACCAGGCAGTGCCAGAGTTCTTTGGCGACTCGGCACAGGAAGTGGCTGAGAGAGCCGAAGAGATCAGCAAAATGACTCCATGCGCATTTATTCATCCATCAGATCATCCTCTACTTTATCTAGGGCACTCTACTATTGTCAGGGAAATCGCCGAAGATCTCGATCCAGGAGTTGTGCCTTCTCTCATTGTAGCTAGCTGTGGTGGTGGTGGCCTTGTGTGCGGTCTGGTTGACGGAATACGCAAGCAGGGATGGGAGAACCAAACTAAAATACTGGTTCTTGAAACAGTGGGCACACGATCATTCAACGAAATGGTGAAAGCAGGCGGAGAGCGGGTGAAGCTGGAGAAGATCGACTCGGTGGTCACCTCACTCAGTGTCGCACAGGTGAACCCACGGACTGCTGAGGTCTTTCTGGAAGCGAAGCCGCCACTTCTCTCTCGTCTGGTCACTGATGCAGAGGCAATCGCAGCATGTGCTGCCTTTGCTGACGACCATCGGTTCCTGGTTGGACCGGCATGTGGCACAACACTGGCCGCCCTGTATGAGCGAATAGTAGAGCGAGTGCTGACGCACAATGAAGAGGAACACGAGACTATCTACGATAAAAGAGGACACGAGGAGTTCAGACACAGCAATGATGGCCCGGTGGTGGTCATTGTCTGCGGTGGGGCAGAAATTGATTTGAATACATTGGAAATGTTTAGAAAACAATTTAATGTTTAAAAAGTCAAAAGTTAAGACAATTATAAATGCTCTCTATTTTTAATGTTCAAATCAATGTCAAATGGTGAGATTTCTTACACTACTTTTAGTGTTCAACTTGTGTTTTCAATTACTAAAATGAGCACTCACAACGCCAAAGTTCAAGTCCAATGACAAGATACCAAAAGTGTTTGTCCTGGCAGAGCTAATTCGCTGCTCAAACACTGCTGCAACACATGACACTTCTGAAATGTGTCCTCGATTATCTCCACTTTGCTGTGGTCATGTGTTTATGTGTGTTTTCCGACCAGTTTGGCAAACACTACTTTTACATGTGCTAACAAACGACACTGACGCTTTGGTCATTTCTAGAGCGGACTAGATTCCTTCACTGAAAGAGTTGCCTTTCACACTTGCTCTTTTCCCCCCTTTTTGACACCGTCTTTCTTCACCGTATTTCAAAGGCCATATTTCTACTTGCAGTGGCCGATGACAAGTGACGATGTGCCAAATCGTTCCATCGACGGCAAAAACCGTCCACAGGCGTTTTGTGGCTGCTTAAATGGACTGTGTCGGCAGACAAAGTTATGACAAGGGCAAGACAATGGTTCACAGTGAGGACTGGCAGATCAATCATGGGCGCGCAGCAAGCGGCATCGCACGCTCAAAGAGCAGGAGCTGCAACAAATGAGTTAGAATCATCCTGACGACTGTAGCAACAAATTGTCGTGAAGAAGCGAAAAAATGACCAATTTCTGCTGCCGGTCGGCAGTACCTGTGTTCCTCTCTGGTGAAGTGACCCACAAAGAGGCAGCGACTGAACAGCAAAAGGGCTTGCCTACGTGCTACTCAATAGATGTCATTCAGTCAATCAACAGCAGTTCACTTCAAAACACTGCAAACTCAGAGTGGTAGTTTTTTCTCACTTGCTTGATTGAAGACCATATCGAAATATGTGCTAATTAAGAGAGTGAGAACCAAAAAAGAGGATTCAAAGTGGTCAGTTTCGTTCATTAACTGTTTTCAATGAAAAAATCTAATTTACTCTTGAAAAGATGACCTCTTTGCACTATAACTTGGTCGAACAGTTGAGAACATATGTGATATAAAAGGAAAGTGTATTGCATTTTTTTTCTAGATTTGAAAGTAGCATATTCCAAAACTTTGATAAAAACTTTATTTATCTCTTCGAAACCAATAAATTTTGCTACTTTTCAATTAGTCTCGCTGGACAAATGGTTGCAAAAGTCAATCTGGCACAAATCCACCAGAAAACTGGTAGATATTCAATAAATCGATATTTAATCATATTCAAATTGCTTCTCTTTTTGCGCTATGAATTTGTATTAGTCCGTGTCTAACGAGTTTCTTTTACTTTTGCGCACTCTATGATTTACTGACCTGCACACATTCATACATGCACTGGGACAGAAAAAGATACAACAGGGCAGTGCAGATAAATAATACAGTGTGACGAACAGTGCTGATCGAGGCCCAGGGTCCGATAAATCATATCGAACGGACTCACACGTGTGCTGATCACAGTCAACAGTTGTCTCCATAAAGCTCGATTAGATGTGCAATAGATTTTTGTCAACTTAGGCAACTGGTGGTAATTTGCCGGTAAAAATTGAAAATTTATGTGCAATTTAACCAAAAGATTTGCAAATTGCGTCTCGTGTGAGGTCTAAATGAGCGCCAGTTGTCAATTAAAAAAATAAAAAGTTTTATAA